GCCGCTTTGTCCTCCGAGAGGGCGGGAGTCCGGGGTTTGACGGCCCGCGCGCTGCCGGAAGTCGCCTAGCCCTGCTTCCGTAGGCCGCGTCCCCTACGTGTCCTTTGTCCTGGCTCTGGTGACCTTGGCAGCCGCCGCGGCCCCAGCCTGTGTCCCTCGCGGCGGCGTCCGGGCGCTGCAGACCCGCGCCCCTCCCCGCTCGCCCGCCCGTCCTCCCTCCCGCTCGCCCGCCCTCAGACGGAGGAGGTTAAAAATAGCTGCACGCGGCTCGCCTGGAGGAGACCCGGGACAAAATGGAGGCGGCCGCTCGCTAAGGGACATGCGCCAGGCTGCGCGTGTCTCCCGCCGGCAGGGAGGGAGGGAGGGAGGCCGCGGGGCCACGCGACGGCGACCTAGCGGGAGCGGGCCCGGGACGGGCGGGTCGGCGGGCCTGACTTCCCGCCAGTTCAGCCGCGGTAGCGACGCCGCTGTGGGCCGAAGTCCTGGGTCCCGCCCGCGGCCGCCCCCTTTGTTTACCTCTGGAGCTCCCGATGTGGCCTCTTCCGTCTTCCCGATCGGTCCTCCCCGGAAGGCGCTCCGGCCCGGCATTGTGCACAGTCATGCTGCCTTTGACGCAGCGTGCTGCACAGGCCGAGCCCCCCAGTGTTAGCTGGGGGACGCCACCCCGACCAGCCTCTCCATGCTCTTGAACCGCTGCCCGACGATCCCAGGGTGGAACAGCGGTTTTATAGTCTCTGGGTTTGCGCGTGGTAGAGTTTGTATTTTTAAGTTCTTTTTTAAGACACAGCAGTTTAAAAGTGTAAAGGGCTCTAGGGAATATAAAAGGAACCGCTGTGTTGACGGCATTGGGATGCTCTGCTGAAATTCTTGGCTAGCCAGGCTTTGAATTCTTGTCTGGAAGGTAATAGTTAAGGTGGTAATGTTCCATAAAGGAGAGAGGAATTCTTTTGAACCCCTAATTGCGCTGTAGAGGACATAACTGGAAAAGTACCGAGGAAATAACTTTCCAGTTTTATTTATGACTGAGAAGTTGCTAGAGTAGACCGACTCGGAGTCCATTTCACTTATGTTGAATGTTCTCGTGGATTTGCTATATTACAGGTTCTTAATTTAACAAAATTGCATAAGATTCAGTTTCTTTGTTAACAATTGAGAGTGAAAAGTAACACAATTAGCTGTCACCTCTTCTCCCTGAAAGTGTAGATGAAGAAAACCAATTGCACCTCAAAGGGAATAGAGTTTATTCTGGAGCCAAATATGAGTGACCATGGCCCAAGAACATGGAATCAGACTGTCCCCAAACCACATTCAACAATAGTTTTATGAGGTTTATATGTTAACAAATGGAAACATCAGGTAGGCTTTTTATGGGATATCTCTGGCTATCGGCTCTCGATTTTATATGATGACATTCTTAGTCTTTGGAATTGGTGGAAACTAGTGTTCTGTTCGTACATTCTGAAAGGACAGTCACAAGGATGTGTGGCTAAACATAGAAGTGGGCGGTGAATGGTTATTAAGGAGGCTAAGGATAGCCTAAGATGCTTTGGCTCCAGGCCTGCAGCATTCCAGGTCTCTACTATCACAGTTAAATCAATCGGCCTTGTAGAATTTTTAACTCAGGAGGGAGGTGAATGTGGGTGTGTGGCTTTTTTCCCTTGGGAACTATAGCTCACAAAGGAAAAGAGCAGTTTGTTGTGATTTTCCAAACTGTTTTCCTTTTCTTAGTTAAAAATTATTGCACGAATACATAAATTATTCAGTCCTTTAAAATACCGTGTGGCTATATTGGCTCCCACCTGTAATCCCATCACTCAGGTTGAGAGAGTAGTGATTTCTGTGATTGTTGTGATTTCAAAGCTAGCTAGAGAGCGGGACTCGGTCTCAAGAAACAAATTGATAAATAACTCACTGGAGGGTTTTGACGGTATAGCTCAGTGGGAGGGTATTTGCCGACCCAGGGCCTTCTTTGGAGTTTGATAGCTAGGACTGTTAATACACATACGCAAATTTGAAAACCTACCATAACCTGCCAGAATATATGGGGTAAAAAGTGCAGCCTCGAAGGGCCCCCAGCTGGATCAGGCCCTCTGAATAGGTGAGACAGTTGATTGGCTTGATCAGTTTGGGAGGCAACTAGGCAGTGGGACCAAGTCCTGTGCTCATTGCATGAGTTGGCTGTTTGAAACCTGGAGCTTATGCAGGGACACTTGGCTCAGTCTGGGAGGAGGGGACAGGACCTGCCTGGACTGAGTCTACCAGGTTGATCGAAGTCCTCAGGGGGAGGCTTTGCCCTGGAGGAGGTGGGAATGGGGGGTGGGCTGGGGGTAAGAGGAGGGAGTGGGAGGGGGGAAAATAGGGGAACCAGTGACTGATATGTAGAACTGAATGGTATTGTAAAATAAAATAAAAAAATAAAAAATTATAAAAGAAAAAAGAAAAAAGTGAGAAAGACAGGGAAAAAAAAGTGCAGCCCCCAACCTAGTGCAAACATCTTTTTTACACTCATCTCTGTGTGATCGTAGTGGGCCTGCCCTGTGGGCAGCACTCTCGTTTCTACCTTTGGTCATTCTTGAAATTTTTTCCTGTAATGAGTGCAGTTGTGATATAGCAGAAAGCAATTGTTTACAAAAGCAGAGAGGTAAGTTAAATCGGCAGGCAGTTAGCCTTTAGCTCAGGGTCATACTGTTTAGGAATTTGGGCTGGTCCAGAGACCAGTTTACCTTAGGAATTTATATGGCTAGTCCAGAGACCAGTTTACCAAGATAGTTTTGGTATTCTTAGGAATCTTTTGATGAGATGGCATAACTGTAGTTCAGTAGCCTACTACACTCTGTCATGTGGGTCATAGGAATCGAACTCAGGTCTTCAGGCTAGGCAACAAGCTGCTGCGCTGTCTCACCAACCCCTACTTACTTTCTTCGTAAGACTCAACTTTTCAAAGCTTTTGTGCACTTCCATAGAATTGGCTGTAGCTCCATAGTAGAACATGTGCTTAACATGAGTGAAGTCTTGGGTTCCATCTTCAATGGATCAATAGTTGTGATGGTGTTCTTAATTCACAGCTGCTCTATCCAAACGCTGCATGGCTGTTCTAGTTCAGTTGCTTTGCTAATCTTGTTGATGGAATTTTTCAGTTTTCAAATATGTAACTTTTCCTGAAGGGTCACATCTGCCAACATATTCTCTCATAGTTTTTTAAAAAGTATTTATTTACTTGCAGGTGTGTGCACTTGGTGTACGTTAGTGCACGTCCCATGGTGTGCATGACGTCAGGCTTGGCAGCAAGCTCCGTTACCAGCTGAGCCATCTGTACCCCCCCCATATAGTTTTTTAAAAGACACTGTTGCTAGATATAGCACTCTGGGTTAGCAGTTATTTATTTTAGAGGGCTTGAAATACATCTTCTGCTTTCTTGGATTTGAGAGTCCCTAATAAGAGATTTTTTTTTTAAGATTTATTTATTTATTATGTATACAACATTCTGCCTCCATGTAACCTTGCACACCAGAAGAGGGCACCAGATCTCATTACAGATGGTTGTGAGCCACCATGTGGGTGCCGGGAATTGAACTCAGGACCTCTGGAAGAGCAGTCAGCGCTCTTAACCTCTGAGCCATCTCTCCAGCCCCCTAGTAAGAGATTTGATGTTGTATGTTTCTGCCTTTTTAGCTGAGTTTACATGCCCCCTTCCCCTGCCCCCAGCTCCTCATACTGTTTTTTGCTTTGTATATTGACATCTTGATGATGTGTTGTGGAGAGGTTCGTCTCTGGTCATGTTTATTTAGAGTCCTGAGTGTTCTTGTGTGTGAATGTCTATTATTTCTCTAGAAATAGACATTTACACACAAGAAATTTTGTTGGGAAATTCGTTAAAATTTCATTGAGTAAATTCTCTATGCCTTTAAGTGTATGTGTGTGAGCTCCTAGCTGCAGATTCTTAGATTTGAGCCGTGTATGTGTGTGTGTGTGTGTGTGTGTGAGCTTCTAGCTGCAATCTCTCTCTTTTTTATGTTTTTCTTGACAGGGGTTTCTCTGTGTAGCCCTGGCTGTCCTGGAACTCGCTCTGTAGACAGGCTGACCTACAGAGATCTGAACTATTCAGAGATCTGAACTCAGAGATCTGAGTGCTGGGATTGAAGGTGTGCTCCACCACTGTGCGGCTTTTAGATTTGATGTCTTGATCATAGCCTAGAATGCTTGAACCATGTGGTCATACTCATTACCTATTTTTCCTTGTTGCTGTTGAATGCAGTATTTAATCAACTTTGTTCTTCATCCCCTGATAGTCTTTCTGCTTGGTCGAGTCTATGGATTATGCTTTCCACTGTGTTTACTGTCTGTTCAAATCAACTGCCTATTTATTGTTTTTTGGAGACAGGATCTCACTATGTAGTTTTGGTAGACCAGACAGCTCTTTTCATTCTAGTATTCCCAGTACCTTTTGTTGAAGAGGCTGTCTTATCTCCAGTGTGAAAAAGAGGTAGCCGAGGCTAGAGAGATGACTTGCTGTTCTCAGGATCTGACGCCCTCCTCTGACACCCTCCTCTGGCCTCCACTAACACCAAAATACAAATAAAGGAAATCTTTTGAAAAAATCAGATGACTGTAGCTGTGTGAGCTTATTTCTAGATCCTCTATTCTGTGTTTGTTTATATGTAAGGATATGTTTGTGTAGTCAAGACAGGGTTGGATATTCCTATAATACCAACACTGGGGAGATTGAGGCAGGAAGATTATTGAGATTGAGGCAAGTCTGGGCTACAGAGTGAGATTTAGGCCAACCTAATCTGTCTGTCTTCAAAAGGAGAAGAAAAAGAAAAAAAATTTAATGTAGATTTAAATGCAGACGTTAAGAGGGGAATGTTTATTAGGAAAAGGATAGTTACACACACCCAAGAAAAGTAGGTTTAAGGCAGAAAGAAAGGGCATGGGCATGCAGCATTTAAGTAACTGAACAAAAGCTGTATATGATTTTGCTGACTTTGGAAGTTATATTGTCCATATCACTTAAAAGATTGAGTGAAATGTTTTAATACGCTTAGATTTATCTCAGAAACTTCTTTAGTAAATGAGACCATAAAGTAGTTTATGAAGTGCACTTTACAGACTGGCAAGATCAAAACATATGTCACAGAAAGTCAAAGGAGTTCTACTATGCCCAGGTCACCAGCAGGCCAAGGCACATCATTTGCTGCTTGTGAGATTCTCAGAAAAGCACTCACAGGTGAGACCTTTCATAAGGTCATACTCTCCACCTTAAGCATTGTTCATAATATTCTTACTTGAAATCTCTCTCAGAAAGGAATTCTGAGAAAATGTCCATGCAGTCATCTTCATAGCAATTTTTATTAGCTATGTAGAAATCATGGCTTTCTGCAGGCACAACTTAAACTGAATTCTGGGATGAGGGACTGCTTTCCCTTCCCATGCCTCTTAATGCCATGGTGGGGCCCACTTGTGGTTCCCTGAGATGGCCAGGTAAGCCCGTATCTCAATACACAAAGTATGGTACCTGTTCTTAACTGTTGGGCCTGCAGAGTACCAGCTGTGAGGTGTGTGAGGTGTAATGGACAACAAAAGCAGTATTATTTCAGATCTGAGCACAAGTCAGGCATGATGGCTTATGCCTACAATCCCAGCATTTAGGAGCCTGTAGGAAGATCACCATAAATTTGAGACCAGCCTGGGCTACATAGCAAGATCCTGTCAGAAACAAACAAAAATCTGGATATAATAATAGGTATTTTATTTGTAAATCGTTAAAAAAAATTTGCTAATCCAAGACCTGTGCAAAATTACAATAATATAGTCTGTTAAAATGAAACAAGATTATTCTAAAATTAGAAACAGGAACTGTGGGGAGGGAGGGGAGTATAACGGGGTAGAGAGCCGGAAGCAACATGGGTAATGCCCTGGACTGGATTCTAGAACCAGATCAATAAAGGAAAATTAGAAATGTAATTTTAAAAGATAGTCTCCATTTCCAGTAGCTGAAATGAATGCTATTTTAATGTGGATTAA